GGATAAGGAACTGACTATAAGCAAGCTGGCAGCAGGTTTTGCTGCATGGGAATGACCACCTGGAAGTGGAATTCCACAGGGACTGGTCTGTTACTGATTTTGAACCAGAAAGTTAATACAAAGGTGTGAGTGCAGTGCTGTCCATGCAGTGGTGGACTGGAGGATGAATGGGGAGATAAGAGGAGTCTTAAAGGAGCTTGGCTTTTTCAGTCTACTAAAAGGAAGGAGGGTCATCAGCATAGACATCAGAGAGGGAGAACTACTGAAGTAAAAGCCCATGTAGACACTAATTAAGAGAATCTGGTCATGAATAGATTTAGGTTGGAAATCAGAAAAAAGTTTATCATCAGAAGAGAATGAAGGTCAGAAACACTGAGAAAAAGATCTTAACTGGGATCTCGAGGAGTTGAATTTATGACATGGGAATACCAAAATTTGCCCCAGCATCTTACGACTCTTAAACCAATCGCAAATAAGTTGTTTCACCTTGAAATATGATGTTAAAAGCCCATGTAGACACTAATTAAGAGAATCTGGTCATGAATAGATTTAGGTTGGAAATCAGAAAAAAGTTTATCATCAGAAGAGAATGAAGGTCAGAAACACTGAGAAAAAGATCTTAACTGGGATCTCGAGGAGTTGAATTTATGACATGGGAATACCAAAATTTGCCCCAGCATCTTACGACTCTTAAACCAATCACAAATAAGTTGTTTCACCTTGAAATATGACACAAGAGTTGGATGAATTCACTGCAGAGGATAAGGGGAAAGAACAAACAGCACACTCACCTGAAACAGCCAAAGTCATGGTGCAGGCACAGGAATTACACTGGACAGTGGGATCCTCTGACTCAAGGAGATCCAGAATTGGTTCAAGTAAACCCATTTGGACAACTAATTCTTTGTCAACTATTCATAAATTGAAGAAGAAATGGACAATCAGAAAGTAAACAGTTAATGGCTTTGTGAAAAATGTATCTTCCTGTGACTGCTTTGGGCATCTGTATGATGATTATGCAAAATAGACCTAAGATAGAAACAGCGTGAAAAGCACTCACAGTCCCGAGCTTTGTTTGCTTAATTCCTCTTCAGATGCATGAAAGAGTGTAAGGGATGTTCAGAGGTTCTAGTTCAGAATGTCCCAAATATTTCTGCTAGCAATTCCACTTTAAAACATAAGGTTCATTTTGGAAAGTGCAACTGCAGCTTTCCAATAGGTTCACGATGTAATCAGCTCTCCCCTTCTTTTTCTGCTGAAGTCTACCCTTTAAATATTAATTTTTACTTATAAATAGTGACATGATATTATAAAGTTAAAAAGCAAGATTCATTGAAGACTGACCCCATATTCTGTTGTTATGGGATAGCATGATGGAAA